TCTTATCAGATTCTTATAAGACTCTTATCAAACTCCATTCACTTTCCTGCGTAATCTTATATAAGAATTTGATAAGAATCAGGTAAGATTCTTATCAGAATTGCAGAAAATTTTTTGTCTAGGGTAGTTAAACTACAATATTTTTTCCAACTATAATGTCTGATAAGAAAGAAGAAGAAAAAAATTTGTCGGTGTTGTATGTTCTTTCATGACATCTACTGTAAGGTCAAAAGCCATCTTATTCAAATTTTTCGATTAATTGTCAACATCGGATGCTCTCATAATATCAGATTGATCCATTTATTGATTTATAACGCGAACGTAATCTGATGAATTTTGTCGCCGTTTCATCATATACACTTGAAGTCTGACAATAATCACACGGGCTAGAAAAACCGCAGCACACATGACTAATATTATTGGGCCGAGTAATGCGCCGGAATTTGCAACATTAATTGGGCGTTGCCATTTTACATCATACGTTTTTTCCATTTTGTAATAGCACGTATAATTTTGACCGACCTAGTTAAAAAGAAGTTCGCTCATGATTCTCTAAACTCACATACCTGACTTACTTCGTAGGCATACAATCGTTCTCGACTCTCATGATATGATGAGTACGATTCATCTATCAATGACACTTGTTGATTTATAGTTGGTCGATATGTAACAAACCATCTTAAATCGTAGCAAAATGATTTACCTTGACAATGTGTTTGCTGCAATGTACGATTCAACAGTGAGCACTTCGTTTCGTTGAACGAGTTTGCTTCAGCACGTTGGCAGATATAGACTGGTAACCAGACGACTGCGATCATGAGACCGACAATACTAAAACCAAATAAGATGGCGAAGAAAGTTTCTTCGTCAAACACCATTGTTTTCAGTGAGATTTTTTTTAATGAAATGAATGAAAAGAACATTATATATAGAACAGTGTAAATGAAACGAAGAACATGAGACATATTGACTCATTTAATACTTCACAAAATTCACATGTTAGTTATTGACGACAGAAAAGTTTAAAAAAGGAGTTTCGTATATACATAAAAGAAAGAACAAACATTTCATGGCGATGATTGTATTTAGTTTAAACTTTATTTTCCTTGAATAACAAGCAAAAACAAAAACAGTACGAAAAAAGTAACATGAATCATAGCTATTGAAGAAGGCTATTGAAGTTTCAATTACACATCAGAATATAGTTTCATACAAATCTTATATATTCATTTTTCTGAAGAATATTTAGAAACACAAACGTTAGAGTCAATTTTCTTCAGAAAAATGAATAAAACTAATCTGAGTCATGAACAACAGTTCAAAACAATTTTATTTTTTTGACGCTACATATTCTTTTTCTATTCTAAAATATCGTCTATTAGAATTAATTAAAGTTTGTCTTTCAGAAACATACTATAACTAAGCCCATCAGCTTTAGGGTCCGGCGGAATTATCCCGATCCCTATTTTTTTTCCGAACCCGGTCCCAATCTCGTCGGGATCGAGATCGGGATCCCGGTTTCAATGTCACTGAAGTATTGTTCAGGATCCCGATCCCGATCGGATTGGGATCGGGCCCGG